CATAGACATAATATAAAAGAAGAGGATGAAAATCAATAAGACTATACTATGAAATTCTATGTACATACTTGTACAATTGAAGATGCAGCATTGTTCCTTCTTACTTTCTTAGTAGCTAGTTTACTTAACTAGAATTTGCATGAGATGATAGTGATGACAATAAGTTATACTGTACCACTATAACACTATTGCAGGTAAAATGATGGCAATGGGTAATCTATGGAAGGGCAGGACTCGGGCCAGAGAACCCAAAATCCAAATAACAAACTTTAGGAATGGTATAATCACTGAAAGTTTCGAGCTTAGAGGAAACTTTACGTTTGAATATAATTTACAATGCAAGTATGTATAACCATCCGACACAACAAACACAAAACTATAAAGGAAATGCTAGTGGCATAACCAGAACTGGTACTGGTGTTAACTTATCATACCCTCAAAAGTCATAAAAAATTACAACGGTTTACAATTCTAACAACTAACACAATGAGAAATTTTATGAAAAACTAGAGTACAACGAAGATAACACTGAAGAGTTTAATTGCTGCACAATCGAAAATTCCATCTTGCTGACCTTCAAAAAGGTTGTTGCAAGATCATCCAGATCAGATAAAGATCCTAATCCAGAACCCTGCATACGAAAGCAAATAACCAATGTGTTCATCTCTTTCCAAACAAAAATGGATTCAACCGGCACTGAAATGCATATCAGTGTGGTACTCAATAAAAATGCACAACAGCGCATACCTCATCTTTCTCAAATAAGTGATACTCAAGTATCTGATCATCACCACCCACAACTCCTCCAGCAACAGGAAGGCTGCTACCACTACTACTACCTTCTTCACTCTCTAAACACCCCAATTCAACCTCCGCTCCAGTCCCTCTCTCAAAGAAGGCATAGCGAGAAGCATCGAAAACTCCACCTTCTGCACCTGAACACAAGAAAAACAATGTTTCTCTCTTAGCATCGCCAAAATTTTCCACACTCGGGCACTCAGACAAACACAATCGATAGCAAAGCCACTGGTTCTCGATCTACAATACAAAAAAAAATCTAAGAATTGCAAAAAAATAAACGCAACCGCAAGAGAGCTGACCAGAAAGGGAACTAATCGAGTCGGCCAGGCCCTTGAAATCGGCGCCAGATGATCTCTCCATAGCTACAAGAACAGATGTGGATCCTGAGCCCTCAAAACCCCCCTGCGCAGTCACAATTTCAAACACGAAAATATACACAATCTATCTACGGACCAAGAAGTCAACATTCCGCCGAACATGAGAAGCCATTTTCGTCAACGCAGCTAGGGTTTTGGCATGGAGAGAAGAGCGGGTACGAGTAGAACTCCCAATTCTAGGGTTGAGGGAGGGGGGAGCTGTAATGGAGGGTGGAATGAGGTCGAGAAGGAGAGACTGGAATGGAGGGAATACGTTTTTTTCTTTTTACAGATGGAAGGGAATCTCTCTCTCTCTCTCTCTCTCTGTGGAGCGTCCAAATAAGCTTCGCTTTTAATAGGTAGAGTTCAGTATTTGTCTTGCTCGCCGTTTATAGAAAGTATTGTGCCAATTTCAGCATTGGTCTCTTAACTCTTCTCCCATTGAAGTTTTTTTTCTCGCACCTAATTTAGGCTGCGTTTCGTTCGTCTCATCTGATTTCATCAGATTTCTTGGAGGTCTGATCTGATATGATCTAATCTAATCTAATTATAGTTATAATTAAAACAGTTTCTGATCTAATCTGATTATAATAAAAGTAAGTAATAAATTGGAAAAAATAAGTTGACTGGAACATTGTCTTGATTTGTACGGAAAACCCTCCTAAAAACAACCATATGGTTTGGTGTAATGTGTAAGTGATTGCACCTAAATGCCAGATGGTTATAAATTGTCCTCAACTTTACTCAGTAGCTGGTTTTAAATATTTAATTTTTAATTCTATGATATTACATAAATAGTTTAATTTTCAAAAAGTGTTTCATATTCGATTCTTCAAGAACTATATGTGAAAAAACGGAGTTGCCATGAATCGAACTCGGGTCTTATCCCTTTGGCACTCCTTGCCTTGCCAACTGCGCAATGTCCACCGGCATCCTTTTTCTTCTTTTCTGTTCGACGGTAGAACCCCCCCCCCC